AAAGGGCCTAATTTTGACTTAACTTACCTTTGTTAAGTACAGTTACATGGTTGAGAATTTTAATTTTTCATGGTGTATGAATGTAATTAGAGGCAGCCTGGCTTGGTTTGCCAAAAGGCAACCAACACTGGAATGCAATTGGTGCATGATTAAGCTCAAAATTAATATATGACACATGAATTTCACAGAAAGCAGAAAGGCGAGGTAAGGTGAGACTTAAAGTTTTCCCTTTAAATTTGCGATACATGAAATACTGTTTACAGTACACATGATGCATGAATTTGCTTAGGGCTAGGGTTAGGGTTCCCTTCAAAATTTTTTCATGAGACCCCTCTTTGCCACCATTAAGGCATACTACTGTTCCACATGTTCTGGTGAAGTTGCATGCAACATAATTGTACTGGTCCAAAGGACTGCAAAAGTATGTTGGAGTAGGCATTATGATAATGCAGAATTTAGAAACAACTAATTTGAGTTTTCATCTTCAGATTAACATTGACCGGTTTAATACCATGTTGCCCAAACTATGTGTCCTGGCAAGAGCAACGCCCCTAGATAAGTACATTTTAGTGAAAGGAATAATGGAGAGTCATGTAAACCGTGCTGGGGAGATTGTGGCTGTGACTGGATCAGGAGCTAATGATGGGCCAGTCTTAAGAATGGCAGATGTTGGTTTCACTATGGTAAGAGTGCCAGGAATCTTTCTGTTTTACTGTATACATCACTGATTATTTTTATTAGTATCACTTACCTTACCATGTGAGTCACCTAACCTATTATCATCATTACGCATTTTAACTATCCACAAGTTATGGCTTTAGTTTGGAGCAGTCAACCATGTAATCTGATGAAATCAACATCTGTGTCTTAATAAGGCTTTCCTAGTTAATGGATGGGTTATCAGCCCTCTTGTTAGTCCCTAAATAAGAGAGCCAGTAGAGGTTTCCATCCACCAAATTCTTGCTGTGAGAATTGTCTCCCTAGGTTTGAAATGAAATTTGTAACACTTATTTGAAAATGTTTAACTAGTGAGCAGCCCTGCACAAACACAAATTGTTAACACTTGTTTTATTCTCCTACACATTTCATCTGACAAAAGCAAACTTTGTCAAGGATTCCTTTAAAGAAGTTAAAAAAATTTCAATTCATCTCAGAATTTGGCAGCTTTCAAAAAAAGGAAAATAACATTTTCCACCTTTGAAATCAGCACTAACTAGTCTTACGCTAAGAGCTCACTAGATTTATGGTTTCTTCAAGTTCAACCCCAATGCCACTGAATTCCCCTCTGACTTGCCTTCTCAATGTTGTGGTTGAATTAAAAAATGTAGTTTATGGCCATACATTAAAACATTGCCAGAAAATTAACAGGAGTGGGCAAGTGCTTACTTATCCTTTCCTTTTTCATAATTTCCATTTGCCATCACAGTCTTGGTATTCTAACAGTCATCTTTATGTTTCAGGGAGTGGCAGGAACAGACATTGCCAAGGAAGCCTCTGATGTTATCTTGTTAAATGATGACTTCAGCAGCATTGTGAATGCCATTAAGTGGGGACGTCATATCTACCACACTATCCTCAAATTCCTGCAATTTCATTTTACTGCCTGCTGGGTGGCTGTTATTGTGGTGATCTTTGGAGCAGGCTTTGTGGGGGTAAGTTTACTGTACTGTTCATGATAAAGAGGATTGCTCATCATGATTATCAATGAATAAATTCACCTTGGTGATTAATCATCTCTGCATTCCCATTCTCAATGAAAGGGATTAAAAGGGTTTCAAACTTGCTTGCTCTTTGTTTTGGTATAAATATATTTTCTCAATGCCTTCTTGTAGTACTACTCGTCTCACGCCATTCTATATGTGAGGTGACCCAGGAGCTTCTTATTCCAGGTGCAAGTAATGGTGTTCTTTATGGCAATGAAACTTAATCCTCTAACTGCCATGAGTGACCAAAACCAAATTTCTCCCTAAAATATCAATACAATATCAATCAGATAAGTTATGAGAGTATAGAAAAATACAAGTTTGGAGATAATTGGTAGATTCAATACTAGATTCTCTGAACTAACATTATAGGAATTGTATGGTTGACAGTAAGGAGAATACAAATTTTGATCTGGGAGCTAAAGAGTTAAGGACTGTAAAAAGTGATTGGTTGGTTTCAGAAACTGCTTCCTACTTTCCTTTTCAGCTAGGTGATAGCTTAGTATCACCAAGTATGAGGTTTTTTTTTTTTAACCCAATGACTTACTTTTTCAGAGGAGTCCACTGGTAGCTACACAGCTGCTTTGGATCAATCTGATAATGGACACACTGGCCTGCTTTGCCTTAACAAGAGACACTCCCATTGACAGACTCATGAATTACAAACCGTATGGTCGTCACAAACCACTGATTTCTCGCACTTTGCTCCGCAATGTGATTGGTCACAGCATCTATCAGCTGGTTGTCATATTTTTATTGATCTTCAAAGGAAGTGACTGGTTTGACATTACAGATGGTTTCCATTCAGAGACGTTGTGCATGCCAACTCAACATGCCTCCATGGTGTTCACAACATTTGTGCTCATGCAGCTGTTTAATGAGATCAATGCTCGAATGGTGCAGGAAAGAAATGTCTTCCTTGGAATCTACAAGAACTTCGCTTTCCTCAACATATGGTTTGGACAGTTGGCAATGCAGGTAACTTTACAATTTTTGTAACTTTACTTTCATGACCTAGGTTTATCAGTCAAACTGTTACTTGTTACCTTCTCTTAAATAAAGTTAAATGTGATGATAATTGTTACCTTAAGTTTTTGGTTATCAATATTATTGTTGTTATTATTATTATTATTATTATTTTTATTATTATTACTTTTGTGCAAAGAAATGAAAGCAGCCCTCAGCTCTATTCCAAAGTCTTTTTTCTTCTCATTGATTTTCTTTTCCAACAGATCGTTATAGTTGAGTTCTTCCACACAGCCTTTCATGTGGAAGGCATGGACCTGTATCAGTGGATGTGGTGCTTCTTTCTTGGCTTCTCAGAGCTCATCTGGGCTCAGATTATCTTTACCATTCCCAAGGATGTTCTTCCCGAAGCATTCCGCTGTATTGCTGTTGGTGCTCCAAAAGGCCGAGGCATTGCTTACTATAGGAGCAGCTCCCGTGTTGAACAGCAGGTATTAAGTCATGTGTTGTTACAAATGACATAAAGTGTTTTGTTTGGTAGAGGTCCGGGAGTAAAACCAACTTAATTGTCAGAATTGACTGGAAGAACTCATGTTTGATTTAGTTTATTCAAAGTTAAGCTAATTAGGTTTTTGTTTGTTTGTTATGTTTTGTTTTGTTTTGTTTTGTTTTTTGCCGTTCTCACTTTCTCTATATGAGGATTTCATATACGCCACCTCTGATCTACAGAGAGCTCGATAATAAGCAAAGTCCACCGAGATATACTAGGTTCATGTGTTACTTCATACTTCAAACAGCGGCAGTATCCAAAGCACTTATCAGATAAAGAAAAATGGCACAGGAATCGGAGGTGGGGGTACTTAGTTCGTAAGAAGGTTTTTCTGAAATCCATTCTGATGTAGGTTATCTTTTTAAGTATGAGGGATTTATATGACTTGCAAGATTTTTTTACTTTCTTCGAGCATTCCATTAATCTCATAATAATAGTTTTTTTTGTTCGAAAAGTGTGGTAGGGAACATCTGGCACTATCATGGTTCCGTCTTTGGATATTGGTGTTAATGTTGAATGTTTTACACTACAGGACAGTGGTATAGTCAACTCACTGTTGAGTCCAGTGGATGATTTTCTTGAGATTGTGGAAGAATGCCCGCCCATGGAATAGCTACCTTGCATCTACTCATGGAACGGAATGCTGTGTTTCGTATACGTGGAGTAAAGCTTGATAGTAGGGAAATTAAAACTAAAGTAATTATAGAAAAAACCGGTCAGGATTGGAGTTAGTTTAAATTATGTGTGCCGCTGTTGTTTGATGGCGATGGTACATTGGTTACCGAGTCATCATGGTAACAAACATTCATTACCTAGAAAGACTGAAGTAAGCTGGCACCCCGTAAAAACTGTTGCCATAAAATTTTTTTTCTTGTATGTAGCCAGAGACATGAAATCAATGAGCTGATCAATCGATCAAAATTAATTGGCGAGCTTATCGTCCTTTTGCATGTTAGCTTTGTTTCCTTCGTAACTTTGTAAGTAGCCCTGACAGCTTTGGTGTGCTGTGGAAAAAAGGCTCGACTCCTACCCATCCCTAGGGCTTGAGTAGAGAGAGGAAGGAAGAATGGTTTCTTCTCTTATTTTCCGCTTTCCTTTTTTCGACTACATAACATGCTGCTCCGACCCATTCCTATTTCAATCGAGCGTTAAACAAGATTCATAAGAAAAGAGTTGAGCTGTAGTTGATGACTTTTATTACAGATTTAGTAAACAACAGTTTTAAGAAGCTTTTCCAACTAAGTACCTTTGAAGTTTAAAAATCGTGGTACGATTCAGATCCCAAAATTGTAAGTTTGTAGTATAGTACCATAAACGTCTTATCAATCTTATAGATGCCAAGCACCGTTGTTATACACACATTAAAAACAGTTACGTAATGTAATCAGCTTCTAAAGCTTACCAACTTTTAAGATGTACCGCATTTTCAGTATTTGAGGCCATATTTGCTTTGTTCAAGAAGGTCAACTTATTTATGTAACATGTAGAGTACATTGTGGGGTAAATTTTATAAGGCTAATAAAGACTTGACTGCTATGTTGAGAATTAAACTTCTCCAGTCAAAGATGCTGCTTCATGAAAATTAAACTGATGTAAGTTCCATGATGTATTTATCGAAGCATCTAAATAAACATCTGCATACTAACTTTGTGTAGCAAAGTCAGGGTTTTTCTATCCTTACTCTCCTTAGCGAAACTTTTTTTCGCTTTTCAAAACACCACGTTATCTACCAATCAAATCACCGATGAAAGAACATGTACGTCATTTTAATGCCAAGTATGAAAATAGCAGCAAAATGAATATAATGACAACTGCATTTTCTCAATTACCAATTATGAAGTAGATGATCGGACATTTAGTGTTTAACCACTACGCTGTTATCTATATCTTTTTCTAACCTAAACTTCTGTTTTTCTGTTTCTGCCCCTGCCGAAAAATAATTGCGGTTTTGTTTACCACAAACAACCTTCGTCACTGACCTTTCTAGAAGATAAACTTAACAAGTTTGTGATTGCCCTGAGGGCCCGTCACGGGCCTTTGCCGATGCATGTTTTCGTCGGAGAGTTAGACGCTGTTCTCTTAATCTTCTTAGTTTCCCCTTTTTTTCCAAACGTCTTTGTTCCGAAGTTACAGCTTCGGAAGTCTTTACGTGGTTTCGCGATCACTTCAAAGTACTGAAACAGTAACTTACCAGGTATTCAGCTTCTTATCCCTTACTCGATTGAAGATATGTGGTTAACAATTCTATCGCAATTGTCTTTTGTTTTGTTTCGTTTTGCTTTGTTTTGTTTTGTTTTTTCTGGTTCCTTCGAAAAGCATAAAAAAAAACCTCAAGTCGGCTACCGGTACTGCAGGCATTCACTGAAGGATTTCAACCAGCAATCAGGCTATCGACCAAAATATTTCAATGTGTAACAACCTTTAACCTACAAAGTACAATCTGAGGGGGGGCACGATTACATAGCTCCGTTTCTGGATTTGCGTTGGAGATAGAAAATGAAGCTGTTACAGCACTAATTCACACTGTGATAATTTATCTGTTCCTTGAGCGAGAATTCAAGCTTCATCAAGTTGTTTTCCGTGTAGCTATTGTTTACCCGTATCGTAGAATTTAAAACAATCAAAACGTTATTGTTGCGCTGCTATAGCGACAGTTCCCTTTGTTTTTCATTTGTCGTTCAAATGATTTGCTGGACCAATCTCGAGACATTTTTGCGTTCCTCTTCGTAAAAACAGCATAGGCAAGGAGAAAGGGAAATTTGTAATCTACCTCGATTCCAAAGTTTCCTGCTTAATACTGTTTCATGAAAAAAACTTCGTAAGTTTTTTCGTGACACATGAAACTGCGAACGTCGGTAAGATTTAGTGGTTCGTGATTCCCGGATTACTCGTTAATTAAACAGAATTCCTTGCGGCGAGTTCGTAACATTTAATTTTTCGTCACCAGCACAACTCTGACAACTTTGTCCTGCTCAGCACTCAGGCGGCAAAAACATGGCACTTGACAGTCCGAACTGCGCTCCGGATTTCCCCGATCATCAAGAGCTTAAACGCAATTTCGTCGATCTGATGGAAACTCGAGGGCGCACAGCAGTAGATCGTCTTGAACGAGAGCTTGGCGGTGTTAAAGCAATCGTGCGGAAGCTTCATTCTTCCACCAGAAAGGGTGTAATTGGTATTAAAGACGGGCTCGCGAGAAGAGAAGTTTTTGGAAGCAATCATATACCGGTTAAGCCGCCTCAGAGCTTTTTTCGATCGTTTATTTACTCGCTCACAGACTCGGTCTTGATTATTTTAGTACTGGGAGCCATTGCTACTCTTATTCTTGGCTGGTATCATCCTGAAATCTGCGATGGAATAGAACAAACCAAAACAGCTTGGATGGAAGGCTGCGGAATTCTGGGCACTGTGGTAGTAATCATTTTTAGTTCAGCTCTGAGTGACTTCTTTCGAGACCGTGAGTTTTATAAGATGCAAGTTAGAATGGAGAACAGCCGAAAATGCACTGTCATAAGAAGCGGAAAAGAAATGACAATCTGTTGTAAGGATCTCAAAGTTGGTGATTTATGCGTTCTACAAGTCGGTTCAATTGTTCCAGCGGATGGTGTTCTCGTTCAGGCGAACGAGTTACTCACAAATGATAGTATTGTTGACGGTGGACAGATAAAGGCTTCCAAAGGCGATGCAGACCCTTTAGTGTTCGCTGGAAGTTACGTGAGAGAAGGAAATGGTAGATTTTTAGTCATCGCTGTCGGTAAGGACACTCAAGCTTGCAAAAATCAGGAGAACAAGCCAAAAGCTTCTGATCAAGAGTTTAACCCGGATGACGAACGCACAACCTTGCAGGGAAAGCTTAACAAGGCCTCGGCTGTTTTAGGTCTCACTGGCATCATTGTCGGTGCACTAGTGACGTTCATTATTATCATTAGATTTAGCTTTCAAACATACTCAGTTGATGGCAAAAGTTACGATGTCAGTCACTGGATTGAGTTCGTTCAAGCTATAATAATGGGAATAGTCATCATCATCATCGCTGAACCAGAAGCGCTGTCGCTAGCTGTCACAATCACACTCTCCTACTGCATAGAGAAGATGCACTCGAGTCGAATATTGGTCCGCAATGTTGATGTGGTGGAAAAGATGGGGAACCTAACAACGATATGTTGTGGTAAAACAGGTGTTTTGACTGAACTGAGTGAGCTGACTGTCTCAGAGCAAGTAGTGGAGTGTTACATGGCCGACAAGAAATTCACTGGACATCCGCGTTTTTACGGCGACAAGTTGCCCACGAACGTACTTAAATCCTTGTGTGATGCGATATCAATCAACACCAGTTACTCCTCTAATATCACGGTGAGCTTAAAATAAATAATTAAACGCGGAAACCCTTGCGATTTCCATTTACTGATGTTAGAATGTAAAGTAGGTCAAGGACCGGTCCAGAGATACTGTTATTCACAAGATGTTAATCCTGAAAAATAACCTACTTAAGCTATTCATTGTTCCTTAGGCTGAGTTAGGATAGTAACAATTGGCGCATTTGTAAAATGTATTCAAATGCGCTTTCAGCCGTGACGTAATTACGATCATTCAAAACAAAAAGTCCGCAGTGGATCATGACGTATTTGTTGTTATTAATGCTGAAAATTAAAAAAAAAACCCAATAGATTACGTCTCTAATTTCAAATGCTCGTGGAATAACCATGGTTGAGCTGTAGTTATTTTCATGCAAATTTCTGGCTCGTAATACACCACTCCTTCGGTTGTTTGTCGCAGAACTTTCCAGTCCGACAGCTAAATCAGTACATGAAAAATCGATTAATGATGGCATGAACAAAACAACTCAGAGTAAAACTTGGCCTTTGTTTCCTTCGTAAATAATGTCATTCTCGGCATTCAGATAAAGTTCATTTGGTCAACTTTTTTTTCATGGTTGACCCCAACCAGTCAAAGTACTGACTCGTGTTATGTGTTCAGTCGTCAGGCCCTGAATGTCTCCCAAAACAAACCGGTGACAGGACAGAATGTGCTCTTCTCCAGTTTGTGCTTGATTTAGGCGTCTACTACCCGTTCATAAGGAAAGAACATCCAGAGGAAACATTTGTTAAGGTGTTTGGGTTCTCTCCAGAACGTAGATTTATGAGCACAGTCATTAGGGACGGAAATGAGTATAAAATTTACATCAAAGGAGCACCCGAGGCCATTCTTTCAAGGTGCACGGGGATTTTTAAGGAAGGAGGAAAGGTTGCTATGTTTACTCTCGAGGATAGAGGCGAGATAGACCGAGTCATTAAAAACATGCAAGAGAGCAGTCATTTAAAAGTGATGTGCATTGCTCAAAGACCTCTATACCCCTCAGGTGAGTTGTGCCAAGTCACATTTTTTATGATTGGCAGTGGTGTCATTAGTTTACCCGTAAACATTTCTCATAAAAAGAGAATATGTATGAAATTCACATGAATTTCATCACAGAATAAAGATCTTTACCACATTTTCCGTACATGAATTTCTGGAAAAATAAAACGCACTTTGACGACTTGGACCCACTCTCAGCTGACTGAGTGTATTTATCTTATCGACACTGATTTGGTCTTAAGTGTTTATACAGCGGTTGTTACATGGCAGACGCTAAGACTTTTTATTGTTATTATTACTATTGCTGGCCGAAGCGGGAGAGCCACAGTGGGAAAGAGAAGAGGAAATAATATCAGAGATGACGTTGATTGGACTTGTAGGTATCGACACAATGGATGAGTACGTAAGTACCTCTAGCTGTTAGCCATAGCTTACTTAAATTACGCTAGATAGGAGATTTTTAAGGACTGGTCTTCGTTATTTCTATGCTTTAGATATTTCCATGCATAAACACCAAGTGTGTTTATTTACATCTGTGAAATAATGTACCCAGAACTTGAAGAAATCTGCTTGTTTGAGTATCTGAGTTCAACGCGGGAGCATAGACATTCCTGGCTGGAGTCAATTAGCCACGAGTAGCACAAGATTTTTCACCCTGAGGGCCAAACTAAGCCTGTTCTGTTACTTAACGATCAAATAGCCTAACAAAGCAACAGTTCGACCTTTATTGAATACGACAGTTTATTACTGCCTGTCTATAAGATCAGCTAAAAGTCTAAAAAAAATTATTATCAGACGGACCAACACGCCACCCCTTTCCCCCTCCTCCCTTCCTGTGCAAACATTTACGTCAATTCGTTTTGGAAGGGACGATAAAAACATGTCCTTTAAAGTTAGTTCTGACTTTTTACGCTCTGACGCTCCTCAGGCTTCTTTTCAAAATTATAGTTCCTCTGTAAATATCGTTACGTTGCTTCTAAAGATCTATCGAATTGTATGGGTTCAGCTAACGAGTAATAGAACGTGGAATCTTTCAAATAAGTCTATGGAAAGCTTCCATAAGAATCTTGTAAAATGTTCCACACTTGTTTTTAAATTTACTTTAACAATTATCTTTAGGTGACTGTTGAAAGTAGAAAAAGAGCAATGGAAGGAAAATTAGGTGGCAAGACATTTCGAAGGTTTCAGGACCTGAAGAAATTTAAAGATGACAACTTCAAACATCCAGATTTTCCCGAGGAGATCTGCCGAGGAATCGCTGTTAGCACAAAATACTCATCAAATATTGAGGTAAAGTGGGGAAATGGGAAATGCCGACTTTACATACAAAACTATGCAAACAAAAGTACATTCACGCCCATGGGAAGAACTGTGGGTTACTTTTTGATTGGTGAGCACACCGACATATTTTTTTCCAAAATTTTCACAATTTTTTCCGTAAAATTTTTTACAAGTTAAAAGTTTATTCCTGCAATGCGAACGTTCATAGTAGACATTCCTTTTCCAGTGCTTCTTTTCCTTTACCCTCCCTGGTCCTTCAGGATTTTCACCTTCCCTATTTTCTCACCGTGTACTCCCGTCATACAGACCCCAAAGAGACTGATCTGACAAGATCCGACATATTCACTGATGTAAATGCTCAATACCTTTAATCTTCGTTTTCAGGATGAAGACGATGACAACCTTCCTAAACACATTGGCGACAGCAATGATGGCGCTCTTCTACAGCTTGTCCTTGAAATGGGTGAGACCTATCAGATCTGGAGAGATGAATATCCTGAGGATATGCTCGTGCATAGACGTGCTAGTCCTAGAGAAGCACCTTCAAGTCTTCAGCACACTGCTGTTGTTATTCACATGAGGGACAGTGGCAGTGGAGGATACAAGCTGTACTGCAAGGGGGCTCCTGGGTATGTGCTGCCCCGCTGCACCCAAATGGCACTTCCGACACTTGAGAATATTGCATTCGACGATCAGGACAAAAGGAACATATGGCACGAAATCGATAATCTGCAAACAAGAAAACAATTTGAAGTTATATGTTTAGCGTTGAAATACTTTCCAGGTAAGTTGATTGCCCGTGGTCCTTCGAGACAGCTGCTTGGATGAAACCTCTTCTGTAAAAAGAAAAAACACGGATGGTGAGTCTGAAGTTTAGAGTAGAAAAGCTCAACCATCTTAATTCTACAGCTCTCTCATTTCATTGTTCTGAGGTTCGGTAGGAAGAGTCTTATAAAGTCTTGCGCACTGACACTTATCGGCATTTTTTGAGAACAATAGAAAATAATGGGACAAGTTTGTCCTTTTTTTTCTCTTGATATGAATCATGGAAAATACCTCATATACCTTTTAAAATGTCACATTTTTCTTCTCGTAGAAAACTATGACTGGGACAACGATGACTCCATGTCAAACCTTACGTTCCTGGGTTATATTGGCATTGACGAAAATGTCCGAACACGGGTAACTAAAAAAAACCTACCGTAAGATAGTTCAATACAATGTGATATTGAATTAAGATATCTTGAATTATCATGTTTTATAACACAGCAAAGCGTAGCAAACGATTAATTGGTGAAGTGAGACAGACGCACGGTTAGAGGCGACGAAAAATTTAAGAGAAAGACAAATTTACACATATTTAAATCAAATAAAATTCTCCTTGAGGTACTAGTTAAAACTATTCTAGTTATCGACAAAAATCTTACTTGTCATGAAGCGGCGGAAACTTGGTAGACTACGAAACTCCCGGCTTTACAGCCTTTTGTATGTCTCTATCTCGGGGCTTTATAGGTGTGTACGTCTTACTAGCCGAGCATGAAAGCTGTACTGGAAAATTCTAGCCCAAGGTCGTGGCAGTACAGACCGAGCGCGTTAAGATCCGTGCAAAAATAGCCGAGAGCCAAGATTCCCCAGTACGGCTCAAACAAGCGAGTTTAATAAACAGTTAATTGTATGGCACACAGATCAAACTCGTTTACTTTAAAAATGCCGCCTTTCGCAACCTATAATACACGGCTTTAGACTGTTTCCGTGGAAACAATCTGTACGGCAAAATACGGAGCAAGTCAGAGCCAGAGCGTTTGGATTTACCTCAGGACTACCTTGTCATATAATAATGAGATATTATTCCTAAATCATTTTGCTCTGATGTAGGTCCCGGATGCCATATGGGATCTCCACCAATCAGGTATTAAAGTGTGCATGGTGACAGGGGACAACTTGAGTGCTGCAGGAAGATTCGGCTCAAAGAGCGGAATCCTGTCACCATCTAGGGATTGGCCTCTCAAAGAATTTTCCTATTTTGGATGCGACAGCAAAGTTTTCAGCAGCGTGAGTAGGCATATATTACATAAATATTTCATATGATTAAGCGGTTTACTGAAAGTCGTTGACATAACTTGATTGGTTGGACCAAATGATACCTCATCAGCTAAATACTACCCTGAAAGATTGTTTTTCCACAAAACTCACTAAACAAACAGACTGGCGAGGATTGATGAATGATCAGCCCAAGATACGTGTTAAGGCAGATCATTGTGATCCACATGAAAAAAGGATGACTGTGGTATGAAGCGATTCACGAATCGAATGTTTTTGGTAAACAAACAGATTCAGTGAGTATGCGTGAATGAACGTTATTTTGGTTCATCTGAACATGCAACTCTAGGAATTGTAAAAAAAACTTCATTAACGTCATGAAATAGGTTGTTGTTCATCGTGGTAGCTGGATGATAATATAAATTTGTTCCGTTGTCTCACGATAAAGTCACTAGATGGAGATCGCGACGTTTCGACAGCTTACTGCAAGTCTTCTTTAGGCGATGGGGTCGACTGGTTCCGGCACAGCAATATATATCACAGGTAGTCTGCTGCGATTGACCGAGACAACCATTGGTACACAAGGAAAGTGAAAGAGGCAATTCACATAAGACTTAACCCAAACAACATAAACAGGGACAACGGAGCCGAAATACCGCAAGCGTGGATGCCGACAATTAGAAACTGAAACATCAAAGCCGGCGATGCACGGCAAATCAGCTAACGCCTGAGGAAACCATGTTACACGGAAACAATAACCGGATCGAAATGCACCAGTCGACCCCATCGCCTGAAGAAGGCTTGCAGTAATAATAACAATGACTTTATTGGATAACACAATTACTGGTGACTTTGTCGTGAGACAACAGAAAAAATTTATATTATCAACTTCATTAACATAATTCAACCTGATCTCGTTCAACTCAACAATCATAGAATTTTTTCTCACACAGTCCATTCTTAGTTAAGTCAATTTGTATCGAGCACAGATCACTAAAGAAAAGTTCGACGAATGGTGGCCAAACGAACTTCGTATCCTGGCCTCTGCTGGAGCGGCAGACAGACTAAAATTCGTCGAGCACATTCTGAGGAGCCAGTCTTCTCCACATGGTGAGATAGTGGCTGTGACTGCTTCTGGAGTGAATGATGACAAAGTATTGAGGAGCGCTGACGTAGGACTCACCATGGTAACTATGGCAATCAACTATAACAACTTGGAACCCAGATTCCTTAGATAAACACGCAGGCTTTTTAGTTAATTCTATTTTTTGCATTACGTCCGTAAAGTACAAACACATCTTAAATTGTTTTTGAATGAATCCGTCAAGTTCGGACAGTTGTACTGAAACAACTGCTGTAAAGCTTTACATCTAAACTACAATAAACTAATTATTGTTTAAATAAACATTTTTAGTCCAAAGGCAGGTAGTAAATATTTATTTCGTCGCGAATCATCCGGATGATTCTTGATCTAGTTGCTGCGTGCGCTCCTGGCGTACATCATCCGGATGATAATCAGCCATGCTGGTTTGGCTAACAACCTTCTATGGTACATTTTTTACTTTGAAACTGTATGTCAGGAGCCAGCCTTCATTAACAAACAACTTAAGAATTTATTTGTTTCCACAGGGCGTGTCTGGAACAGACGTTGCGAAGGAATCCGCTGATATTGTGTTAGAAAATGACGACTTCACCAGCATTGTTGAGGCAGTCAAATGGGGACGTAACTTGTACGAGACCATTCTCAAGTTCCTCCAGTTTCAGTTGACCGTCGCGTGGGTTGCCATCATCGTTGTGATTGTTGGAGCGTGTGTCACAAAGGTTAGGTCATTAATTCAGTTGTTCTAATAAGGAGAATTTGCAATATGTAGATAGCCTGGGCCTAAGGCCGATACAAATTTCTTCCCACTTTCATGAGGATTAAAGAATTGGAATATTTAACAGGCCCTCTACACTAAACATTGCGGGCCACGACAAAGTAAACTACCAAACAAAATTGATTATTTGCACCTAATTCATTGGTTTAGTTCTTCGCATGAGAAGAACAGCGTTTAAAGCTGGACCAATGAAGTCTTTGGTCAAAATTTTGACAAACGCTGCCAAAGTTGATTACAGCTCTAGTATCAGTGTCGGAATTGCAACAATGCAAACAGTTTCAAAGGTAAAACCCGAAAAAATATAGAAAAACGAGTGAGGCAACATATCGTAATCTCGCTTTCTTCACAGGACTTGAGATTCATATCGATGACTTATTGGTTTTGTTACCTTTTTAGTCGGTTTTGTTTGAGAAAAGTCTTTAAAAGTATACCATGTTACCTATTTTTTATCTCACAGCGAAGTCCTCTGTCAGCCACTCAGCTGCTATGGATAAACCTTATCATGGATTCACTGGCATCGTTCGCTCTTACTCGTGATCAGCCATCGGACGACATATTCAAACACAAGCCTTACGGTCGAAGCAAGCCTCTTATATCCCGCACTTTGCTGAGGAACGTGATCGGTCATTCTATATACCAACTGGCCGTTATGTTCTTGTTAATGTTTGTTTTTCCTGATTTCCTGGACATGAGAAATGGATACGAGGAATCCAGTGTGTGCCGACCAACTCAGCACAAGACCATGGTTTTCACGACCTTCGTTTTCATGCAACTTTTTAATGAAATTAACTGCAGGCGGTTACAGGACAGGAACGTGTTTTCTGGATTGTTATATGGCAAGCTCAGAGATATCAACTTTGTTTTTATCATAGTCTGGATTGCTTCTATGGGAATTCAGGTAAGCTCAAATTGCTACTTATTTTCACAACTTATTTTTGTCTTGCTATGCAGTGTAGGATTATCATTATCAGTATGGCTTACCTTTCGTTGCTAGTGAACTTTTAATTTCTCAACCATTATACTTAGACTAGCAACTGAGAAATCAGTTAATTCCCGAGCCCTATTGCAAAGAGAAGACGTTATTATAAATTGCTGTGCATTTTTGTTTTTAATATGTTAATAATAACTGCTCATGGCATACGGACCGAGTGTAGGAGGTCCCAATGTGAAAGAATGGAAGAACGGAAACTTTCACTCCCCGGCCCGACCAGACTCTGTCTGGTATTTTACCAGATGACCACCAAGTCTTAAGAAAGTTGGAAATTAAGACTGATTCTAAAGAGACAGCAGTTTAAGCCTAGTCAAACTCACGCAACATCTGCAATGTTGTCGGATCGTGTTGAAAAGGAGCTGGCCAAACGCGCGCGACATCTTGCAACATCCAAAATGTTGCAATTAAAATTTGACCATTTTCAAAATTGATTCAACACCATCCAACATCTAATAACATCTTATAACACGTTGCTACAGGGTGACCAAACGTATGCAACACATTGCGTGCAACAATGTTGCAAGATGTTCGTTGGAATGTTACGTACATTTAGCCGGGCCTTAATTAAATACTTAAGAGGGGTGCGATCGACAACTTCAAAACAAATTTCAGAGTAACGACATTCGCTTTATTTCTTTACGCCAGAACAAGGGACTCGCAGTTTATCAAAAAACGACAGATTTTCAGTTCTGTTTTATTTTAAGTTTGCGACCACAATTTTCCAAAGCAACAGAGCCGTACGAGTGCGGGGTAAGACGGCTTTTACCGGACAAGCTCATGTTCTGTTCATTCTTTTAGATCATTATCGTGCAATTCTTCACAAATGCATTTCGTGTGATTGATATGGAGTGGGACCAGTGGATGTGGAGCTTGTTTTTCGGCTTTTCTGAGCTGATCTGGGCCCAGCTTGTGTTCACTATTCCCAAGGAGATTATTCCTCGTCAGATTCGGTGCTGTGCGAATGGAATCACCAGAAACAGAGAAGGTTGCTGCGAGAAGCTGGCCCTAATGCGAGGAGTCTCTAAGGTTCGAAAACAGGTGAGGTTTGAATGACTAAGAATTGAGCAGGGGGCTATGGATGTAATCTAAAATCAAGGCTTTGGGGGAAAGTGTTGCTTTACCGTTGATTTCCCTGGTGAATTGATTATTTTATCAGGTTTCTCCTTCTCCAATAATATGACGATGCTGTAGAAAAATTGCCTCCATTTGTCCTTAGACATTATTTGTTCTGAGGGGAAAGAAGTTTAACGCGAGTGAAGTTCGAGGAAAACTGTGAGCTTCTAGGAACAGATATTGTCAAATGACAAACATCCGCGCAAATATTCGCACCAAATAGAGGCTATGTTTATTATCCATGAGATATTTTTGCATCGCTCGGGACAAAGTGTCCACGAGCAGCCTACCTTTTTCTGTGTAGGATATTCACTTTTCACTATTCCTTGTTGCGAATTTACGAGCAAACAAATATGTCCGTTCTTCAGCTCTTTCATCTTGAATTACATTTTACATGAAAATCAAAGTGTTAGGAAAGGGAATGTCACCGGTTATTCCCTTATTCCCAGTTTTAGCTGGGACATATTGGTCACGTGACGAATTTAGAGTAATTTCATGGGTGCAAAAACGTTACTAGATTATAAAATCTGATACATGGTCAAAGGCAACATTCGTATCTTGAGTTATCGTCATATTTTGTTAAAGTGAGAATGGCAAAGGTTCGATTCCATATGGGGACTCAGAATTTTTTCTTTGTACCACGCGCGTGATAAGACGAAAAACATCTTTCTCGAGAATGGCTATACCACTAATTTCACGGTAGAGGGTAAGTTGATCCACGAGGAACGTTCCTAAGTCCTCCTCAAATATCATCCAAGAATATGGCGGAAATAGTAGCATGGTTAATAGTAAAATGGAGACATAGTACCATTAGATATTACAGCAGATTACCTTTTTCTTCTAACAACGAATTAACCTACAGTGTGGTGAGGTCCACTAGTAATGTGCTAGGTGTTGAATCACCATATTGTCATGGGGTATATTTTGCAAGGTTTTTTTTCGTTTCAGAACCTGACGATGTACACATACGACAATAATGGGAGTGCAAGGTTTTTTGACAACGGGAGAGTGTCTCCTGCTACAGAGGAATACAGAATGACTACTATAAACTGAGAAAACAAGGACAATTTAACATAATTCAGAATTTGTTTAACTGACCATTCATAATCTCGCAACTACTACAGCCATGTGAAGCCTGGGTTACGCAAGTGAAATAACGATTCAGGACGTAATTCAGTTGGAAGTACCGCCACACAAGTGTCCAAGAGGCGTGGGTTCGAATATCTTAAGGGCCTAAGTTTTATTCGGGCCTTTTTTTTTTTTCTGGGGTCAACTTCCAGAATCATTTCGTTTACTTGAGAGTAACATAGCAAGTTCTTTTTTCATCATGTTTGTGGTGTGAACGGGTGAAACGAAGGATCGTGGTATCACCATCATGACATCAGTTGACATAATAATGGTTATGATCAGCATTTCATTATTGGGAAGCAGGCCTTAAAGGGTTATTGTATTTTGTATATATTCACCAGGACATTTGAGGCCAAGTTATTCATGGCAGATTTTGTTAATCAGCGGCTTACTCTTGAATGGGTCTAAATAACTAGACGATAGTCACATTTATCATAAAAATTACAATTTAACCGATTGTAATTGGTTTACAAAAATTATATTTTCTTCCAATTCACTTGCCAAGTTGTAATCGGACAGATCAATAATCCAATCACGTTAAAGTTGTAGTTTAAATAAGTTAATGGAAATTTTCCCTTTCTTTGGTAACTTGGCCATTCTTCTTCTCTCGGAAATTGTAATTTTTATGATAAATTGGTGAGAAGACTTCGTGTCGTCCAATTCGATCTGTAATCATACGAGTGATAACAAAATCCGATTTGTTTATCACGACCTGGACTCCTCTCAGTCTTATTATCATTACTTTGTATGATTGCCCATTATAGAGATGTGCGCGCTCTGATTGGTCGAGAATAGCGTCGCTATAATCACCTCGCGCGAGGTGATTATAGCAGGGGCACTGAATTTGTAAATGGCTGTCTCGCGTTTTGTCAATGTTACCGCGGAAGTGATCTACGCGTTAAAAGAAAATGCTAAGTTTGGCGTAACACTTTTCACTTTTGCTCCTACGCCCTACAAACAACTTATACATATCAAGCAAACAACAAGAAAGATGAGGTTGTTCCGTTCTGTTTTTAAAGTGGGCTTATGTCGTGAATGAGAGCGCATATTTGCAAATCTCCTACGCCCCGTAAACTACTTATACATATTAAGCAATTAACAAGGTATAGTATTCAGCACTTAAAGTGACTTTTAATACAAAAACGTTTTCTTATTAAAGAGGTTTTAAATGATTGCGTATCCAAGACACTTCTTTGCTAAATTTGGTAAAACACCTGTCATTGCTTACTCTTCTTCTTTTGAAAGAAAGCATTTCACAATTTCCAGGACTGTCTTTTTTCGCGTGAGGTAGGAAGGACCTTAGTTCAGATCAACAGAAATAAGTCAATTTGATACGGATCCCCCTGAACAAAACCCTGAGACATGGTCGAACCTGAAAAGGCGCAGCAGCTCTGCAGGCACCTTCTAAACGTACTAAGCGGTCGGTTTTCGAAATCCCGAAATTTTTCCCCCTTAAGAACTGTAATTTTCACCCCTATTGAGCGGTTATGGTCACCCTTGACTGAGTCTCAACAGCCTGTTTGTCTAAACAGAAACTACCTACATAAAACCAAGAATAAACTCTCACGTAAAATTAATTTCATGTTAATGTTAATTCAAATGTCTTCAACACATAGCAGATTATTTTCCCTCTTTAGACTGTTAGGACGAATATTAATTCTGAAAATCACGCAATTCATTTCCTGGTCAACCTATATCAAGGGCTCACCGCACCATTCCCCATGACGGTGACTGCTTAACACAGGTTCGACTGAACTACTTATAAGTCCAAGGAGTGGCGCGGAAGTGGCGAAGCCCGACTGACGGTGGCGATTTCATCATTCGTTTTCCATCCATGATTCGAATCGCGTTTGGGAATCAAAGTATTTATTAATCAAAAGCTCATTTCGTCATTATCACTTAAATTTTTAGCATATTTCCTTTTCATTTTGAGGTCCTAAATGTCTATTTCAGTCGGAATGGAACTGAAAAACCATCTTGAAAATCTCAAAACGTACAGCTAAAATGGACGAGACCTTTGCAGTCAATCGCAGCGACACTCATGTGAACACTGTCTCATGAACAATTTAGTGATTTACGTTTTCTTTTCGCGGCAAGGGCGCAAATACGCCATACTTTACGACACCCTTATAGAAATGTTGTTCTTTTCATTTGTTGGTTGTGGCGTTCTTTTCTTCTTTGTTTTAAAATACTCTTACAGCATCTTGCTGGTTGACACAGCAATATCCAATGGTAAGTTCTAAAAATCTAGCTACCATTAGGTAGCTATAAGACTTAGTGCAAACACCAAAGGAAACATTCTTACAGGATGAACGAATCAAACTTGCATTTTTGTTACAGGGGTAAGTTTTTAAAGAAACTGCAGTGCTAGGCTGGTGAGGAGTATAACAAGATAAGTTGATTGTATCAGTTGAGTTGATAATGTACACTGGCTACCGTTAAAGGTTTCTAAAGGTGACGTTTCGAGAGCTAGACCTTCGTTAGAGCAAAACAAAGGGCTAACGCTCGAAACATCAGTAGGGTGGCTAGTTTACATTACCACCTCATTGCAATTTGCTATGTTTGTCAGTTAGGCGAATCACAGCACTGCAGACGGTATGATCATTATTTTTCAAGAAATAAGGCCTGTTACATTCGTGACACGATTGCATTGAGTCACCAAAAAAGGGAAATAACAATTTATCCTTAATATCTCCCGATAAACGGTTTTTTCTTGGTTTGAGCAGAGAAAACTTTTCTTTGTGACAAATCAACAATGCGAGGTACAAAATAATGTTTAGAGAAAAACGAATTTAACATAAAATATTGGAGTGTCATTTCTTTGCAAGAAAAGCAACAACATCGTAATGGTTTTACCCGAAGAGGACAGTTATGTCCATTAGTCCTAATCAATCTCTGTAATCCTAAGTATTAAGAGATCTACAATTTTTATACCAGAAAATAGTTGGGAATAATTGATAACAACAAGCTTACAATGTTTCTCTGATTTTTTTGGATTAGTTTTGATCGGTTGTCTGTTTTCTTCGTTGTTTAATAGACATTAAACTGGTCAATTCATTAGCCTGTTACCTTAGCCTATACTTTGGCCTAGACTCTCTTTTACACTGAGTCTTTGAAATCCTTCTTATTTTTTAAGTTTTCTATCCCAATTGACCAAGCAGTCTCAGGCCTTTACCGCCGCGACATTATCATCACACTGTCATTGGATATGAGTTCAGGATACACAACACCTAGAATGGTTGTTCACTGTAGCCTCCATCTGAGATTCAAACTGTTAATCACTGTTCTATGATACAGGACTTGACACGACTAAGTAGTCACTATTTTCATGATTATCATTAATTATTATCACTATTTCTATAATCGTAATTGTTTGCTTACTACCGTTTTAGTAATCACAGTGGACTAGCCACTCAATAGTCATAATAACACTGGTAACTAACACTGAGTGAATGAGTGAATCAGTTGATTAAAATCTACTCAGATCTTAACTCTCTCACTTTCAAAAAAAAAGTTTGTCTTCAAAAAAAAAAAAACAACGACAACAACAACAAAACAAACAAAGAAAAAAATAAAGGTAAAGGCAAATTTCGTTATAAAAGGAAAAAACATTTTCAAATAAAGTTTTCAGCACGCATCGGCGAATTATTCGAGCTCTGACCATCAGATGGTTTGGCCGATTCAGGACCACGCGCCTCAATGAGCGAACACCGAGCGAGCGAATCCGGCAGTTAGGGATATAAAAAAGATTATAGTTGATAGTTGATTCAACTATGGTAGCTCTCCGCCTGACTAATGATTATGACTATCTGTCTGATGTTCCTATTTTCGACGCACAGCTACATCTACTCACATTTCCGACTTCTTACTGTGTTTTAAACACACACAACTTGGGTAGAAAATCACACCTTTTCTAACTTAAAATGTTATGTTGATTACAATAAAGAATCGTAATGAGCTATTGTAAATAGTTGTAGTAACGTAAACTAATACTCGTCCGAACCTTGAAGAAAACTCGGCCTTAATAAAGCTGTTAATGTTGGAATTTTCAATCAAGGCTTGGAGAAAAATCTCCCTCTCTACAGGTTCCAATTGCACATACTGTAACTTGGTCATGATGACAAGAAGAGAAGTAAAACTGATTCAGGAAATCATATGATGGTGACGTTTCCGTTTTCCAATTCTTTTCACCGCTTCATAGCCTGACCTCATTACCATATTTGTAAATAAATGTTAAGGGAATCTTATGACAAACAAAATTGTACAACGACTATATAATGACCACAACTAAACATATTACACAACAGTGTAAAGCGTTCCTTCTCTGGCTGATGTAAGGCGGTTCGTCATCTCCTTATTTTCTGTGTTGTTGGACGATACACAGGTAAGCTGGCTTCAATGTGTGGTCCAGCATCGGACAAATGAGCATTACTAAAATTGTCGTCTTCGTTCAGTAAGGACATCTGTACAACAGGGGCTCCATTTCCCGATGGGGAGAGACGGCGACGGCGACACATAACAACAAGGATAGCGACCACGAGGCTTACCAAAAAGATTCCAAGAATGCACGGTACCACAATCACATAGAGCCTGATTTCTATGGAAAAAAGGGAATTAGAGTCAAGTCTCATCATTTGGAAACAGAGATAATAATTAAATAAATAAATAAATAAAATAGTATGCTCCCGCTCTGAAGTGTGAGAATTCTGAGCTTATTGTATTTAGATCGGTTCTTGATTTTGCTCCCGGGGCATTCAAATTTTAGAGCCTACTTCAGTAAAGTTTACCAAATTTTCTCGGCACGTGCAAACAGTCAACTGGATTGTCCCATAAAAGTTGTGATTTTTAATAAAGATCATCTCGGATTTGAATGACGTATGTGCGATGTAGACTTCTACAAATGGAACGCGCGTGAAGGGGAGGGGTTGAGGCGGCTTCAGCCCCCCCACCCCCCTCATCCCTTCCTTCAAATATTACGCTGTAAAACAAAAAACAAAATTGAATAAGATCACAAAAATTTCGGGCTTCGATAAGTTTAAGCCCCGTTTCAACGATCATGATCATTGATGTTAGTCACAACTATATTGCGTTTTAGAACGGGCACTAATGTACACTTCCGTCAACTTTCATCAGCTACTATGTCTAATATAACGTAGCTTAAGTACCTGAAAGGCAGAAATTCGCATCCCATCGCAGCCCAATTTTTTTTACTATAAGGCTTGTTTTTCTGCAATGCTTTCAAATGTAATGTGACTGTGCGACCAACCTCTCGATTTGGAATTAAGTTTCGTTGCCATTGGCAAAATAAAAGCACACTTGACTTACACACACGTGAGACAGTTATTTAAAAATAATTATTCAATTTCAACGTCATGGTTCTACATATGTGAGTCCCACAGATGGCTTTCTTCGGCAAAAATTTCTCCCAACGAAATGATTTTTTTCAATAGAGGATGAGGCTAGTGGTCTCTTGGTAATTGTGTGTTTTATCATTTAGATCTGAATCGATGACTGGATTTAACTGGAAAGGCGATTCCTAAACAAACTGCGAGGTTGATGGTCGAGTTGGTAAACTCGAAAACACCTGCATTCAGTAAACGATCGGTTTCCACTGACCTTTGGTTTCGCTCAACAGTAATCGTGAAGCAAGTAAACAATTTGACAATATTAGAGAGTCATAAACAAAGAACAGATCAATATTCTTTTTTGACATAACATTATTTTTTTGAAAATTTTCGGACAGTAATGATAACAGAAAAAGGAATTTCGGTAATACGATATCGATTATCACTGGGTCCCTGACATCGTTTGTACACCTTTGGGGTAACTATAGATAAACAAAATCATTACATCATCTAAAGTACGGGAAATTTCATTGTAGTAGCAGTGAATTTAAGGATCGAATAACGAAGGTTTATTGACCTCTTTAAAGCGGAAACAGCGCCAAAAGTTTGTTTGATATTTTTCAGAGTATTTCCCGTCATTTCTAAACAATTATTCAATATCGTGAAACGCCTACCCCTTGAAAGTGTTGCTTTGAACCCAATGCTGTCATGTACTTGGTTGAGGTCCTTTGATGCTACAAACTCTATCCAAACGTTATTTCCTGAAGTGTATAGGGTGCCAGGATTTGAGCAGTATGTCCCTAACACTTGGCTTTCAGGCGAAGCACCATCATGCACTCTTAGGAAATCACATTCCTGACATCTAGCACAATAGCGCAAGTCGAACTTAGAGAATTCAATTTTCACGCGATATCCCGAGGGAGAAACCACTGACCACCGAAAATGCGAATTCCTCGGATATCTGCCAGGAAATAGTGGACTTGAAATATGTGCGGTTGATGTTGTTACCAGGTCGACCCCTACAAAAAGAAGGAGAAAGGATATCAAAAAGGACTTAATAAATAAACATTCACATGTACACTTAAGGATGATGAATGCCAAGTCGTAGTCTTGGCATGAGGCGATATGCAAAGTCCTAACCAGAATGATCTCTACATACCGTGCACTCTGATTCAAAAACTTCTCTTTTCACTTCTGTTTTTGTACAACTACCGCGCCTTACTGAGACAATTTTATTTGACGGGAGTAGTGAGACTTAACCAGTCATGGTCTCCGTCATTGACTGAGATTAAGTAACCTTTGAAAAATGGTTTTGTTTGGACATTCTCCTTACAGACTATTTTTTAGTTATTTTTCACACTAAAAACCATTTTTACCAGCGGTTATGGAAGTTCGTTTGAAATTCCCGAGATTCGCCGCGAAATCAGCCATTTAAATTTCGTATGTGTCGATCAAATAGTGACACTTGAAACGAAGTCGTGAATTTTAAACCTGGACCCTTGTTGCCGGGTTTTTCGTTTGTGCTCCCTCTCCTTGAATGGCCAGCGGGAATTCTTTCGTAAAGAAAAACAAGTTATACATCATAAAGCTTGGTTTCTTTGATTAAAAAACATCATATCAACCTGATCGAACAGAAGTAAAATAGTGCAAGGAACAATAATCTCATTTTTAAACACAACTTACGAAGTTGTGAAAACAAAGCTCGAAAAAAAATTGTACGGTGATGGTATGAAAATTATTTAGTTGGACTCACGAACAAAGATTTACCTAAGAAGTAATATCGATGCGGTTACGTGCAATGATTCCTGTAAAAGTAGTTGTGAAAATAAACCCTAAATATCATACGAGCTTGAACGAAGCCTAAATGTATTTTTGAGATTTTATTTTCACAACTTAATGCTCTTCTTTTTCTTTACTTAGCTGTCTTTCATGTTTATGGTACATCAAAAGTTGTTTCGCTATAACGGAATGATTTTGGAGGACTACTTTTGTTAGTCAATTCTTCTCTAAAAAGTAAATGAACTATTTCATTTCTCTTTATCTGTGGATGTTTTAAATACCGAAATGATCTTAACTGGTGAGGTGTAATAGAAAAATTGGAAGAAAAGAAAGCGTACAGAAAATTCCAGCTTCGACGGGGTGCGAACCTGTGCGTCCCAGATCCTCGCTATTGGGGGCTATACACTAACAAAGATACGGAGCCACATGTTGGAAAAGAGGCAAAGTTAGTGATTTCTCTGTTATCCCCTAAGGAATCTCATCATGTATGACCGAAATAAATCAGTTTGTTATACGGCAAAGAAGTCCTGAGGTAAATTCGTTTTTCAGTTTTGATGTAACATTTTGCCACTTTTCCAGTTTTAGAAGGACCTTGATACCCCTCACAGAGTAATCGTTCTTTAAATAGCGAATGTCCTCGGTATGGTTGAGTTTGTCTTAATTACCCTTAAACATATAACTCGATTTTGCTTAAAAAAAGTAATGTGCCATTTGATAAACTGATTTTCGAAACCGTTGAAGGTATTAAACATGACTGCGGAGCCTCCTCTGTGACACAAGAGGGACTCCCACCCACCCCCCTTTGAAAATCAAAACAGAACAAAAACGAAATGCAACAACGTGCATGTATTGTTCAATACACCAAAACTTTCACTGAAATAAAAAATTATAGTTGAACCAAGAACAACTTCAAAATAATTCAGTTAGTAATAATAATGAATAAAAAAAGCATTTGAAATTATTACTATCATGAGATGGCCAAGATTCGTATTCAGCAGTGAACCGGCTCTCTTTGTCATCTGCTTCCAACTGGAAATTCACGAGAAGGGTGCTTGTGTCGGTGGACAAAGGTTCGGGTATGCTTGCTTTGAAATCACAGAATGTGTACCATGGTGGTTTATTAGAGCTGTTCCTCAGTTCTATGCGAGTGCAGCCAGCGCACCTGTTTTCATTCGAGTAACTGTTACCGCAATGCTCAATCTCGTAGAAGTTGAAGTAAAAAACTATCCGTGAATCTTCGGGGATCTTAACTTCCCAAGAACAAATTCCAGATTTACCCGGATCTGGACTGCTTAGCTGACCGTTGGCTCCTGTAAGAATAATTTTTCCCCTTTGGCAGACTAGCGAGAACGAAAAAAAAAAAAGGAATGTAAACGGCTAAACCAAATCCAAGATAGTCCACCCAACAATCATATAAAACGTACAATTACTTCAATTACCGCTGCTGGAAATCTGTAGCTTGCTCGAACGTAGCAAAACCAAAATCACCTTACTACCACAAAAAAAACCCTATCCTCTCTGAAATTTGGATCAAATGTTGATTATCGTGCTATGTCTGGAAATAATTTAGTCAAGAGCTATACTGCTTTTGTCCATGACAATAATCGATTAAGCGGCTCACAAATGATTCTTCGCTATTTATATCAACTCGCAATGAACACGATTTAAAGAAATAACTTCTTACTTGTTGAGTGTGTTTCAGTTACCAAGAGAAGAACTGAAAGAGAAATGCGTACAAATGATAAATGTCACGGCAAACATAGCTGCTCAGCTTCCGTCACGCATCATCTGGTCGACAGTTCTCTCGTATGCAAATTAAACACTGCTGAAACTCCAATCGCAGGTTTAAAATCGAAAAAACATATTGTTAGAAACCTTTTTGCCTACCTCAACACTTCTTATTAAGAGGACTGAGAGCAAGATAATAATATGGATAAGTGACCTGCCTTTGAACTGAGCAAACAAACAGTTTGCCTTCAAAATACTGATAAACCCTTGTTGTTTATTAGCCTTCTGCTCGGTCACGCAACTTTCATGCGAACAAAACAAAATTTAGACTACATGGACTGAAATAATCGAGTTAGCGCCTGATAGACAAAGTTGAAACAAAAACATAGATATGATGTTTTCGTCTGTCTGTTGTAATCTGCCGTCGCAGACATTATTAATACTTTTACTATGCAGGTGATTTAGATTGCTCGCACTTTACGAAAATGTCAGATGAAACGGTAACGACACAATCAAGCTTTTTAACCTTGTTTTAACTAACCTGAACCGTATTTTGTATACAAAAGTATCCACACAAAATCGTTCGTAATCCATGATCGCATGATCAACAAAAATTGTATCTTGCAAAACCCCTTGAGTACGCCTGTTGTGGTTCGTTATTTCAAAATACTGCCATTCGTTTGGTATGTCAAAACATTGACTTACCGGTTGCTACAACCACAAGCATTGTTGGTGATACAGCGTCTAAACTCAAGCCTCCTTCTGTGAACCGTGAACAGTGTGACCGTGAATTAAAAGCAGTCTTATCAACTCTTGCGTGGGGAGATATTGCAGACCAAAGTGCGGAGAAGAAATATATGGATGACTAAATATATCCCATAGTGCTCACCGAGAATAATTAGAGCTCGTCGTTTCCCTGTTCTCATCCCCTGATGCATGCTGGTCAGGTAGAAACACTATTGCAACATTGTTAATCATAATGAACATGAAGAGAGCTGACAAATTAGTGGAATCAGACGTTTTCAGGAGAAAATAGCAATGTGGGAAACAAGAGAATATAAACTGTTTATATTCTCTTGTAGAAAGTAAGTCTGGAAGGAGAGTCTTCATGTTTGTTTATTTGCAAAATTGGATCATAAATATGGATTTTTTTAAATTCGTGCATATCAACAAAAGCCCTCAAAGGCCCAAGGCGATCATTTGAAACCAATTTCCAAGGAGCATACTTTAAAGCCAAACGCAGGAATTGTGTTAACCTATCCTTTTTTTTTTTTCTGCCAGCACACACACACACAGGTTAAATTTCCGCGGAACTTCATGAACAAACAAATATGCCTCTCCTCTCTCGAAAAGGATGGCAGGGAGTTAGCTGTGATAAGTCTTAGTAGAATGCGTCAAAAGAACTCTACCGGCACAGCCCAGCACTAGCCATATAGAGGAGTTCGGTCGTCTTCTTACAATTAGACAAGGGCTATTCCCTAAACTTCCCCTTCTTTCCACTCCCTTTCGTCAAGATCCTTTCCTTTATCGATAAGGTGTCTAGAACTTGTCGATGCTTAAATATTCTCTCTAAATCAAAGCCTTTCGTTCGTGCCAGCCTCATAAGTTGGTGACAACGAAGAGTTTTTCATGTCTACTTTTGATTGTTCTCCGTAATTCCATGAATGGCCCGGAAACTATGCTGTTTAAAATGAAGATGCCGATTATCATTGATTGCGAGCGTTCTCTAAACCAAAATGGATATCAGCTTTTTCCCCTCTCACTTTTGAAGCTTCCATTGCCATTGTAGATAAATATTTTTAGCTTCCTTAGCATCCCACAAACGATATCAAAACTATTATGATATTGTACCTCACCCATCATTAGGCTGACTTCGTACAGTTTAATGATCCTATGTATTGAGATATCATTAGAAAAAAGATTCGAGCAGGTTTCTCTTCACTCTATTTATTATCATCCTCCTTTTTAAGGCAACATTTATATCTACAAGCTAAATGAATTATACGTTAATACTTTTATAGAGCACTTTTAAATTACGTGTCAGAAGTAACCAAGGACTGCATGGTTTTACTTTATCTCACTCTGTGATTGATTCAGAAATTAAACCAGCGGCATCTTCGTCACTACGTTTACCTTCTTTACAGGTACTTTGCTTGTTTTTACTTTCTCAATATTCTTATTTTTTTGTTTCTTTTTTATTTTTGGTTTAACGACACTCAATCGAAGAGCGCTCTTTGACTCTTAAACACTAACACTCACCTCTAAGAGGTGAGGTCATTTCTGAGTTACCACGTCATTACAGCACAGACTTACTAGGGCTACTTCCTCTAACGGATTCCAGTCACGTATTTATTATTTATTAATTATTATTAAGCTGGTAATCAAATTCTATATTAAAATGCGATTTAAGCTTCTCATACATTCTAATACCCATCATGATTGACTGACTGACTAAAATGAAATTGACTACTGCTCTAATTCAAATCAAGTTCCAAAAGAATATAATTTTTATTATAAAAAGTCTGATTGCAGAGGGTCGTTAGAAGATAAAACTACTTCATAAAAGCATTTCGCTCTACTATACGTTATTTTAAAGAGAAGCCTTTCACAAAACTATGAAATAAACTAATTAAAACTAAAATTGTTGTGACTTAATTTGATGCTTTCATAATAACTAAACATAGTAGCCTATTCCTCCTTGTTCTGCCACTTCTCTTTCATCGGCATGAAATGCACTATGTAGTTTAAATTCTACCTCAGGCAGTTGATAATGGCAAGAGATAATACCCACAATCGCAGAGTACATCAAGCAAAATCATCTGTTTTGATAAACTTTCGTCTGATATTGCTATCATTATGAACGGTAATAACTATGAATTTCAACAGGCATTTCATATTCATGACCTTTCAAATGTACGAAACAAGGAATCTGAAACAAAACTACTAACCATGCCGCACCCTATAACACTCTTCAAACAGGATTATCATGATTTTCACAAGCTAAAAATCGATGTCGGCTTAGAGAAAAATTTTTCCAAGCTAAAAATGTGTGAACTAAACTATTAACCACCCTACCACGGGGATGAAAGAACAGCACTCTACATTCTTTAACCACTTACGCGCGTATCGAGGCTGTGTTGACGATCAGTTGTACTTGTCAACATAACCTGAACTAAAATCAACGTACAAGTATTCTACATGTTCTAATTCAATATAAAATATGAAGAGCCCTCAAAGTCCTTCACGCTAAGTTCCTACTAGATACACGGTAAAATAACCTCGTGACACGTTTACAACCAGTAAATCCATGTCACTGCTGCATTTATAGTCCCCTAGCTTAGATATCTCATTAGATGTTTTGGTGTGAAGTATCGCTGAGTACGAGTTGTGCCGTATTTTGAAAAGCCCGATGGGCGAGTCAAAATACAAAAGTAGTACGCAATACTAAATTCCAAAACGTCTAATAAGTCATTTATTATCCAACTTTTTTTTTTTCTCTGTCAAGTGTTTCTGCTCATTTCTCATAGGACGGGAAAAGCAAAGCGGAAAGAGAAGCGTAACGCGAGCAGCCGACCGGTTAAAGAAGGTTTTTTTTTTAATGGTAGGAAATAACCAACTGTACTATGTCGCAGGATATTTGTACCCTATTCGCGCGTTATTTGTATTCTACTTTGTGTGATTGGATAATAAAATGCATTAATAACTAATTTAGTAAATATCCAGTTTATCCGCATAGAAATTACACACGCATCAAACCAACGAACCCTGGAAATAGGCCGAGAAATGTTCATCCTTGAACATATTCTCCTTCTACTGTGAAGTTAGTAAAACCCTGTGAATGATCAGTGGAGGGAGGCAGTTGAACAGGGGCTGTCAGGGGTATGGAATGAGGTGGCGGAACATCAACTTGCAGTGTACCAGGAGACAGAGACGGCGCAATCGTCTGTACCACCATGGTATCTGAGAGGGGCTGCAGGGGAACGTCGTTCACACGAGATGATCCAGCCGGTCCAGCAGAACGATTTATCTTAGTGCACTTTATGACAACAAAGATGACGGAAAACAGGACAACTGCGATAACAATTGGCACGACGATGGCCGCAACTTTCACATTAGAACCTGGATCAAACAACAAATGAAATAGGGAGAAGAGTAGTTGCTTCAAAGTATGGTGGTTTGAAGGAAATCATTGCTCGCGTACAATTCGAAAGAAAAGTTACCTTTGATGGAACTGACTGTTGCGCGAAAGCGGGCACTGCTGTAATCACTGTTAAAAACAACGAATAAATGGTTTCCTGTCGATGTTACTGTGCCAGAGCTTACACTGCCACAGTATTCGCCGAGAAGCGGATCACTTGATGAACTTCCATCTCTAACTTTCAGATATCCACATGAACAGCTATAACAGCCTGGCATATACATTGTCTCAAGACTAAACTTCAGGTTGTAACCCTTCTTTGTAGAAATTTTGAATGTGCAGCTTGAATAGGGAGCCCTGGTTTTCAAGTAGTCGTCATAATCAGAACGGATGGATGTCGAGCTTGTGCTTTCAACGTAAACACCTTAAAAATAACATTTCCATTAATCTAGTTAGTTTAGAAATGTCAAGCGATTAAGAAAATGAATTTGTTTTTTAGTGGACAAATTCTCCGAGCTTGAGCATTCTAGAATATCGCTTGGTAAGACTGCCCGGCACGGTCTCGAATGGATTAATGACCAGCAGTTAGAAGTTTTCACCAAGATGCCACTGAAAACTCCATACAAACCTATTGAGTATATTCGATGTTTGTTTAGAAATTTCATGCGATTCTAAGAATTGCCTTGGTTTTTTTTCAGTGGTCAAGCTTATACGTACCATACTGAAACAAATAGACATGTTATAACGCTTTGGAGGTCAAGCTGGTTTCTTAACCCTTTAAACTCCAGGAGTGACTAGCATCAAATTTCTCTCTACAATATCACCCCTGAATCACACGTTAAGGTCATGAGAATGAAGGAAATGATTAGCAACGAAAGAAGCTCTTGATTGGTAAACAAATTCTCCCTGTTAGCACCTTACGAAATATATGAAGTGAAGTATGGAGAATATGCATACTGATTTTAGGGTGCAAAAGGTTAAGGGTCACCTAGGTCAGAACAGCTTCAAATTCAGTAACCATGGAGGGAAACAATGTAGAAAACCTCAAATGAAATTTATTTAAATTCAATGTTTGTTCAAATATCCCAAGCGATTCTGGAAGTATTTTGTTTTTGAGTGGGCAAATTTTCCAAGCTCCAACCACAAAATCGCTTGGTTGTCGACGCTTGAACAGACTACCGGGACTAAATACCCGACGGTCGGAAATATCCACCGAATTCCGAGAAAACTCTTTTTCACAGAGTATAGATTTAAGGAGGTTTTCTCGTTTTACCAGTGTACCAGGGCCTTTGGGGGTACTATGGTAAAAGATGAAAAGCTACTGTCGGAAATCTTTACATCAAGTAAACCAAAATACAGCATAAGGGAACACGTTGAATTACTGTCTTCCAGAAAGAACTTTTTTAAGAAAAGAAGTGATAAAAGTGCCATATCCGACGTAAAACGCTTCGAAATCTTTCAACGGCATTCTGGTGAATATTTAATTCTAACTGCCAAGCATTAAGTCTACTCGAGACCGTGCTTAGCAATCTGATCAGAAGCATAGAATTTTAAGTGTCGATAACTGAGCGATATTATAAGATGCACAAGCTCGGAGAATTTGTCCATTGAAACAATAGATTAATTTTTGGAATCGCTTGACTTTCCAAACAAACCTCTGATATTCAAGTTTGAAAGAACCTCACAGTTGAAATTCTGCG